ATACAAAATTTTAGCTAAATTTTAAAGCAGCTCTACGATGCGAGTTCAGTCCCTTCCCAGCGCAGGTTAGTTCGGCAGGTCAAATTTTTTGCCTAGGCTCAATTTCTGTGTTTACGACCGTTGTAAAAGCACCGCATGAGCCGGACACCTGTCTTTACTGGAAATTTAGGAATTATCTTTCGCATTTTTTTCAGAATTCGATTGGTGGGGAAGAAAATTTTTTTCTTTGAATTATTGTCAGATAGTTCCATAATCCATCAACCGAATCGGGATGAAAAACGGCCAGATACTCAGCGTGCTAGAGGCGTCTAAAAATCACTGAATTGAGTAGAAATGAAGATTTTCATTTTGATAAGTAATAAGTTTTCTGTTGAGACAAAAATTAATTCTGTTCTTAAACCTCCCTCTGAACGGTTCACGGAGGGGAAACACCGAGGGATGTAATAATTGAGTCTTTAAAAAATTATTGACACATTCGATCTCTACGATGCGTGTAAAAGTCCATAAGAAATAAAACTACATGGCGCAACCTTGAAAAATGATTCAAAAATTTTGAAAAAATTCACATGTACTTTCCATGTTATTGGTTATCTTTATCAAACACGAAAATTATGAAATTCAATTTTTTTTACATATGAGCCATCTTAATGTACACACGCATACAGACATACATACATCCGGACATGGTCTACACATAGCATACTCGAACTCCTGAGGTCAAAATTAGTCATCCTGGCACAAAAAATTGGAAATTGTGGATTTGATGAACACAATGCCATTCGGAAGCAAAATCGATAATAATTTTCAAAAACGACAGAAATAAAAATATGTATACACTGAGAAATATCCGACGCTCGTTCAAGGGCGCCGCGCTCATTTCAAGGCATTGCGCCCATAAATGCGTTCAAAGTCGCGCGCCTTTGATTTCAAGGAATTTCCGATAAATTGGGCTCTTAAGGATAATCGGGCGAGCCCGAAGGGTTAGAAAAACAGCAGCCATTTTTTTCTTTTTTTTTTTTACGTATTCTTTAAATGATGGAAAAGGCGTGTGCAAAGTTTCAGACTGTTGGGAAGAATTGTTACATCGTAACACCTGTGAAGGTTTGAGGCCGCGTTCACATGCTGGCGACAAGCGGCGGTAGCACCTTACGGGCGCCGTTGTCGCTGGTATGTGCCCGCGCCGACGGTTACAGGTAGGCGGTAAATGGTGGCAGCACCTAACAAGCACCTTCTCGCTCGACGTGGTGTACGCATGCCGACGGACGCTATGGCGTCAGTTAGTAAAAACCGACACTGAAGTGTGTATCGAGATCTAACAAAAATCCCACTTTTATCGAGTCATCTTGACTTTAAACTAAACGAGCCCAACGGGTTCAACAACTTAAACCAACTAACGACAAATTAGTGCACTAGTGAAACGAAATTCAATAGCAAGTGGCTATGAATTAACGAGAAAACGAACGATCAAACGAAATTACATGATTTCGTGTCTCCACGTGGCACAGAAGCCACGCTTCCAACGACGCAATCAACGATTGCGCCTACTAACCCCTAAATTAGCCTGCATTATTGAGTTCTTTCGCGTAGGTTAAATCTTTATATATGTGGACACGTGCTAGCCGTTGTCATAAACAATTAAATAAAGAACAAATAAATTGTGTTATATGTATGTGTGTGTGAATCATCGTGTGTCAACGCCATTCGCAGTGAATCCTCCAAATTTATTGTATTGATAATAAATCTGGGTTTTTTATGCCGAAAAGCTTTTTCCCATAAAACTGTGTTTTTTTTTCTTTATAATTTAATGCAGCTATCATACCACCTAGGGTATGATAGCCTTCAACGTCAAATCAAGCATGGTTAATTTATTATGAATTTATGAAAAAGTGGCCATTTAACCCGTGATCTTATGGAAATAAAAAAAAATGCAAAACCCAAGCAAAAAATGCAGCTAAAGTCATGAAACTTTAGACACATTTAGAACATGTGATTTTTTGAGTGAAAAATAGCGGAAAAAGTACTGAAAAATGAAATTTTTGCGCACGCAGCCCAAATGAGCAGCAATGTCCCAAGTACCGATGGGGTGGGGGTAGCGCGGTCAATTTGAACATCTCTTGAGAGAGAGCGATGAAGCATTGTGATTGGAACTCCCTCGAGCACGTGGTACCAGCTCCTGGTGAAAAAAAAACTCCCGATCATGTTGCTACTTTTTCGCATGGATTAATATTTTTTCATTTATTAAAAAAAAACAATCTAACAACCATTCAAGGCGTACAACAGATGCAAATAAATTTGATTAGCTCCAAAAATAATTTTTAACCGGAGATACTCCCCCCTGACCGGGTTTCCACCTTGTCGTTGGTAGGGTGGCTCAGTTGCGGGCGGGGGAAGCTTTAAAAAGGGGCTGCCACCGTCCGCGACTGCTAAGAGAAACCCACCCAAATCCATGGTGTGAGCCTGGTGTACAACCAGTATATAACCTTATGGTCATATAAGCGTGCCTGGGGATGCGTGGCACATGGGGAGCTGTATCATTAACGGTGCTTCTCAGAAACCGGGCGACATCTGAGAGTAGTCTTAGGACAAGCCAAGCCCCGGCATACGGCTCTGACTGGGTGAGACCGCTCGTTCGTGTTACTCGTGAGACCAAGAATGGAAACCCTTTTTAAAAAACTATTAGTTGAAGAAACTTCTCTGGGTGGGGCCAGTGATGGCGAACATCCAGCGAGACTGGTGAGACAAGCCAGTGAGACTGGCGACTCTCGGACTGACTCGGTTGGGGGAACAAACAAACGAGGCAGGCTGAACGGTGCCGCCAGGAAGAAGATGAGGCAGAGGCAGCAGCAAACCTCGGGGGCAATAGCAACCTTGGTCGAAGCTGCATCTTAGGATGAAGTGGCTGGTGATGTGAGGGCTCAGAAGAGGACTGAAAAACGACTTCTTTCTGAGCACACCACGCCTAGTCCCACCACCAAGCCAAGAGAGAAAAAAATGAGGAAGCAGGATCAGGGCACATATGCCCAGACAACTGCAAACTCGTTAAAGCTGGCAGCGATACTGCAGTCGTATCCGGACCAGAAGCTGGACACGGGGGGGGGGGGGACAGAGGGGAAGAAGCTCCTGAAGGGGGCNTCTGAGAGACAGACGGTGCGGTTGTGGTGAACTGCACAGACGAGGCCACAGGGAGCTGGCTGAAGAGTCTGTTCCCTGAGAATAAAATAGCGGGGCACACCATCCACGTTGTGGCGCTCTCGGAGCTTCCTAAGAAGTATCGAGTGGTGATACACGTGGAGGACCCGGAAATTACTTCTCAAGAAGCATTGAGTTTTCTTGAGAAGCAAAATGCAGGCCTGAAGGCCAGTAAGTTGGTCGTCGTTCAGGGCAGCGAATCTAGGGACGCCAAGAGTGCCCACTTCGCTGCGCTGGTCGATGACGAGTCGCTTGCTGGACTGAAGGCATGCAACTTCAGACCTCACTGGGGGATCCAAAAGGCTACCATAAGGGAGCTGGGGAGAGACCGCAGTGAGGTAAAGAAGACGGGTATGACTGAAGTATCAGAGAAATAGCTACCATAGCTATGACTCGGGTACAGATCGTACAGATCAACTTGCATCACAGTAAGGCGGCTTCGGCGACACTAGCCAAGCTTCTAGCTGGGATGCAGACAGTAATAGCGTGGATCCAAGAACCTTGGATAATCAACAATGCTATTAAGGGACTGACTGATTGTGGCAAGGTATATCATGTCGACACACCAGAAAAATTGAGAACCTGCCTAATTATTAAAGGATTAGATTCTTGTCTCTGTCCACAGTTCAGGGGGGAGACCTAACTGCGGCTCAAGTGAGGTTAAACCTAGGACAAGGCAGGGTTATGGATATAATAGTAGGGTCGGCTTACATGCCCTATGACTCAACAGAGCCACCCCCACCGAATGAAGTAAAAGAGCTGTGCAACCATGTGAAAAGGAGGGGGCTTCAACTCCTGTTGGGCTGTGATGCGAACTCACATCATGCTGCATGGGGGAGCACCGGTTGTAACGGCAGGGGAGAGAGCCTCCAAGAGTTCATCATGGGGGCAAGACTCCATATTTTAAACAGGAGGACAGAACCAACTTTCGTTGACCGTAGGCGACAGGAAGTACTAGACATAACTCTAGCAACGTATGATGTGGCTGGCTTGGTTGGAGACTAGAGGGTCTCAAAGGACCTCTCGGCCTCGGATCATAGAACCATAAGAATGTCCGTTCTTTTCGAGGAAGCGACTGAGTGGAGCCGAAACCCACGGCGGACCGACTGTGGAAATTATCGGAACAGTCTAGCACTTAGGCTGAGGATGATTTCTCTCAGATTTGGCAGCAAGAAGCAACTGGAAGAGGCCTCTAAGGTCTTGCACCAGGCGATAATTGACTCACATGAGGAAAATTGTAAGTTGTTGCCCAGAAGGCGGAAGACTGAGATACCCTGGTGGTCGGAAGACGAACTTGGGGGACTCAGGAAGCAAACCAGAAGGGCTTTCAACAAGGCAAAGAATGCGAGGGAAGGTCCCCGTAAGGAAGCAGCCTGGACGACTTACAGGGAACTTCTCGCAAAGTACAACAAGACAATACAAGCCGCCAAAGACAGGTGCTGGAGGGCTTTCACGGGCAGCATTGAGAGCCAATCCGAGACTGCCAAGCTGGCGAAAAGCCTTGGTACAAACAAGACCACACATCTAGGGAGCCTACAAGCACCGAATGGGAGCAATACGAAGACAATGGAACATTGAAACTCCTAATAAACTCCTAACTCCTAATGGAAACACATTTTCCGGGATTCACCGAATCCCGGGGAGGAGATACAGAATCAAGGCGAAGTCGAAGGGGCGAACACAAACCTTACGACTGGTCCTTGGCTGGCAAAATTGTGCAACCGTGGGGAGTCAAATAGGCTGTAAAGACCTTTGAGCCTTACAAAGCGCCGGGGCCAGATGGGATTTTCCCGGCCCTGCGACAGGAGGGGATGGAGAACATTATAGTACCCCTAACCAAAATCCTCAGGGCCAGTATAGCACTGAGACATATTCTGAGGTCATGGAACGAGACTAAGATAGTCTTCATTCCAAAGCCGGGCAAGGCTGGGTATATTAAACCAAAGGACTTCTGCCCAATAAGTTTTACATCCTTCATATTGAAGACGCTGGAAAGACTGGTGGACCGATTCATAAAAATGGGGCCCTTGGTAGGGAGCCCCCTCTCTCCCTCTCAATATGCGTATCGAAAGGGTAGATCCACGGATGCCGCCCTACGCCATCTGGTGGGACTCGTGGAGGGACAATTCGCTGCCAAGGGAGACGCCATAGGAGCCTTCTTGGATGTTGAGGGAGCTTTTGACAGCACCTCGAACGAAACCATAGAAGAAGCTATGAAGAAGCATGAGATCCCTAGGACGATCATTGCCTGGATACAGGCCATGTTAAGGGGTAGGAGACTGTCGGCTAATCATGGACAAAGCTATATAGAAGGGCGCCCAGCCTGGGGATGTCCGCAGGGGGGAGTTCTCTCACATCGTCTGTGGAATCTGGTTGTGAACGAACTTCTGGAAAGGCTGCGTGGAGCGGGGTGCCATGTCATTGGCTTTGCCGATGATGTGGCAATAGTGGTTAGAGGCGATTTTCTGAGGGTACTCAAAGACATGATGGCGACGGCACTTGACATCGTTGAGAGCTGGTGCAGGAAATCTGACCTCTCGCTGAATCCCGCCAAGACCACAGTCCTAGTCTTCACAAAAAAATACAAGCCAGAGACTTATTGGCCAGAGACTGAATATTAAATTATATTACTGTGGCTCTATCAGGTGGTACTGTTACCAAGGCTAATGTATGCTGCGGTAGTCTGGTGGCCAAGGGCAGAAAAGGTGGAAACAAGGAAGCTGTTGCAGGGCTTGCAGGGAACTTTCCTGAGGGTCGCGACGGGGGCCATGAAGACCACACCTACTGAGGCGCTAGAAATAGAACTCAGTATCCTGCCTTTGGATCTCAGAGTAATTAGCTGTGCAAGCACAACAGCCTACAGACTACGGTGTCAGCAGGAATGGAAATCGACAGGCCAAGGTCATACCCAACTTGGCTTGATTAATGCAAATCCCTTCACGGACAATTCTGACAGGATCCGGAGAAAATATAAAATTAACAAAGCCTTCAAAACTATAATACCATCCAGAGAGGAGTGACTAGATTCAAAACGTAAACCAGGACCCAAGGAGGATTACTGGTTTACCGATGGATCTGGCTATAATGAACGCTTTGGGGCGGGGATCTATCGATTTAAGGATGGCTTCGGGGAAAGCGTCCCCCTGGGCCAGCATGCAACAGTCTTTTAAGCCGAGGTGTTAGGCATAGCCAATTGTGCCGAGCACCTGGTAGTAAAAGAGGCGGACGGGATGAAAATCTTCATTTGCAGCGACAACCAGGCGGCCATAAAAGTACTGGAGAAAGCCACTACTAATTCTAAAGTGGTGTGGGAGTGTATGCAAGCACTTGCCACTTTGGGGGAGAGGAATAAAGTCACCCTAATCTGGGTTCCGGGCCACCATGGGATACAGGGTAACGAAGAGGCGGACTGGCAGGCCAGAAGAGGAACGGAAGACGTTCCTCCGGAGGGTCTGATTGGTGTCCCTTTCGCAGTGGGACAAAAGATCATAAAAGATCACCTACAGCGAGAATTCGAAAAATGCTGGCGAACTAGCACAACCTGTAGACAGGTTAAATTGTTTATGGGGGAGCAGTCAAATAGGACTAGAGAACTTCTGGCCCTGACCAGGAAAAATTTAAGGGTTGCGATAGGACTTCTCAAAGGCCACACTACCCTCAGGGCTCACCTGTATAACATGAAGTTAGCTGAACAGGTAGGCTGTAGGCTATGCGGGGACGGTAGAGTGGACGCCGCACATATTCTGTGCGAATGCCCCCTACTGGCTATACATACATATAGGAGCTGGGGCCAGGCTTTCATGGAACCCGCTGATCTAAATGAAGTGGCGGTGACCAGCCTCATTAGCCTAGTGAAAGACACAGGGCTGGGACTGGTGGACTGACCAGCATAAGGCGGAAGTTACAAAATATCGTACGATTTAGGTGACTCTGGGCAAGAAATTGACCGCCGCATTACTCAAAATTCTAAAAATTCTACTCTCTAATATTGCCTGAATTTTGAATCCGAATGGGAAAAATTTTTTTGTTCAGCGATTGGTTTTCTGCAGGAAAACAATAGAAACCCCTCCGCCTCATCACTAACATTTCCTCCTCGCTCGATTATCCTTAAATCAAAGGCCAGAAAATCTTCATTTGAAAGGTGTACAAGACTTTGAATCGAATCAGAAATTGAGAATGGAAGGGGAGAGAACTCTAACCTAATATTATAAGCTAATTGGAGCATAGGGGAAAAATGTGGAGTGAAGGAGTGGTGAAACGGACTCTCTTCAATTATCCATATCTCCCGACTGAATACCGTAATTTGAATAAATCAGATTTTATTTTGGAGTTTGAAAAAACCTTTAAAAATTATGTAAAACATTTGACTCTGCTATTTTCCTTTAATAGATACATAGATTTGGTCCGTTTTACCCCACTATCTTTAAATTTTCATCATTCAAGAAGAAACAAGATGCTAATTGAAAATTAATAAAAAAATATGTGAATAAATAAACAAGTCAGCCTCCAAATCAATCAAACAGAATATATTTTCAGCAAACAGATAAACAAATAAGTCAATAAATTAGAAATATGGAATTTGAATATTTTCTTTAATCAGGAATAGTACATTATATTAACAATACAGTAACAAAGAACTTAGTTTTATGGTTTTTTAATAGGCATCTAATGGTCAGTGGGAACAAAATGAGTTCCGTCATATCCTGTATGCGTTATATAGGGCTTGTAATTCTTCAAATTTTCCTGGAGTTAAACCCAGCAATTATACACCTCGTTGGAGTTGATTGGACTTCACAAGATTGAAAATGTTCAGAAAATTGCTTGGTTAATAACTGAGTTACGAAGAAGTGAACAATTTTATCGTTTGACACCAGGATATATTCAATTTCTCCATATAGGGGCCTCATTAAATCGTCATTTAATAATACCGTCACACCTGGTTTATATGAGCCGGAAACTGGCGAACGATTATGACGAACGATATCCACAACTTGTGGAGCGGATTGTACTGCCGACGCTCCAAAGGGACCGCGGACGAGGGTCAACCTTCTTACCCCTAATTTTTATAAATAATTAAGGAACATGAACAAATGTTTTTAACACACCCTCATTCCTCCATATGCATACATTATTCGAATGAAAAATAAAATTGTTACATTTAAGTAAAAAAAATTTTAAGATTTGGAGTTAGAGAGTGGGTGGAGGGGGATGCATAATAGGGGAGGGTTGAAAATTTTACCCAACAGGGGGAGGGGGTTCCAGAATTAAATAAAAAAATAAAATTGTTAAATTTGAATAAATATTTTGAGTGTTTGCAGATTGTGAGGGGTGGAGGAGGGACGCACAATAGGAGAGGGTTGAAATTTTTACCCAACAAAGGGGAGGGGGTTTCAGAGTCTATCTGAGCCACCCTCATCCTACCGTTTGCAAGCGTCAATTAAATAAAAAAATAAAATAGTTAAATTTAAATAAAAATTTGGAGAATTAGGAATTTGCGAGGGGGTGGAGGTGGGACGCATAATAAGAGAGGTTGAAAATTTTATCCAACAAGGGGGGGGGTTGCAGAATCTATCTGAGCCACCCCCATCCCTCCGTTCGCATGTGTTAATTCAATAAAAAAAATTGTTGAATAAAAACAAGAAATCTCGAAAATTGTGATTTCACAGGGGATTGGCAGGGGGATGCATGATAGGAGGGGGTTGAAAATTTCAGCCGACAAGGAGAGAGGGCTCCAGAATCTATCTGAGCTACCCCTATCCCTCCGTTCGCATGCGTTAATTGAATAAAAAAATAAAATTGTCAAATGAAAAAGAAAATCTCGAAAATTGAGACTTCGAGAGGGAGTGGAGGGGAGATGCATAATAGGAGAGTTCCAGAATCTATCTGAGCCACCCCCATCCCTTCGTTTGCATGCGTTAATTAATTAAAAAAATGTAATTGTTAAATAAAAAAAAGAAATCATCGGAAATTGGGACTTCGAGAGGAGTTGGAGAGGAGACGCACAATAGGGGAGGGTTGAAAATTTTACCCAACAGGGAGCGGGAGTTCCAGAATATATCTGAGCTACCCCCATCCCTCCGTTCGCATGCGTTAATAAAATAAAAAAATAAAATTGTCAAATAAAAAAGAAAGTCTTGAAAATTGGGACTTCGAGAGGGGGTGCAGGGGAGATGCATAATAGGGGAGGGTTGAAAACTTTAGCCGACAAGAGGAGGGGGTTCCAGAATCTATCTGAGCCACCCGCATCTCTCCGTTCGCATACGTTAATCAAATAAAAAAATGTAATTGTTAAATAAAAAGAGAAATCATCGAAAATTGGGACTTGGAGAGGGGGTGGAGGGGGGATGAATAATAGGGAATGGTTGAAAATTTTACTCAATAAGGGGAGGGGGTTGCAGAGTCTGTCTGAGTCACCCCCAGCCGTCTTTTTGCATGCATTAAATAAATGAAAAAATAAAATTGTTAAATTTAAATAACAATTTTGACTGTATGGACTTGGCGAGGGGTTGGAGGGGGACGCACAATAGGGGAGGGTTGAAAATTTTAGCCAACAAGGGGAGGGGGTTGGGTAAAATCCCTTCTACTCTCCCCTATTATACGTCCCCCCTCCGGCCCCTCTAGAAGTCCCAATTTTCGAGATTTCTTTTCTTTATTTAAAAATTAAATTTTTTTATTCGATTAACGCATGCGAACGGAAGGATGGGGGTGACTCAGAAAGACTCTGCAACCCCCTCCCCTTGTTGAGTAAAATTTTCAACCCTCCCCTATTATGCGTTCCCCCTTCACGCCCTCTCGAAGTGACAATTTTCGAGATTTCTTTTTTTATTTAAGAATTACATTTTTTATTCGATTAATGCATGTGAGCGGAGGGATGGGGGTGGCTCAAATAGATTCTGGAACCCCCTCCCCTTGGCGGCTAAAATTTTCAACCTTCCCCTTATTATGCATCCCCCTGCCGCCCCCCGTGAAATCATAATTTTCGAGATTTCTTGTTTGTATTTAACAATTTAATTTTTTTATTTAATTGACGTATGCGAACAGAGGGATGGGGGTGGCTCAGATAGCCTCTGCAACCTGCCTCCCCCCCTGTTGGGTAAAATTTTTAACCAAATTTTAATTTTTAACCAAATTCAAATTTTAGTCCAAATTCTCCCCCTGCCGCCCTCCTGTGAAATCACAATTTTTGTGATTTCTTGTTTTTATATAACAATTTTATTTTTTTATTTAATGGATGCATGTGAACGGAGGGATGGGGGTGGCTCAGATAGACTTTGCAAACCCCTCCCATTGTTGGGTAAAATTTTCAACTCTCCTCTATTATGCATCCCCCCCTCATGGAAAGAAAATATATCCGGACGTATATCTCAGTATATTGCACTTATATTTCGGCCAAAAATATCATATGCCAGAGATATCCTAGATATAAATATGCACATATATCTCGATGTGAAATATTTAACATATATCTGCAATATGTCAGATATATTTTCGGCCAAAAATGTGGTATGCCAAATATATGCTAGATATAAGTGCTGCATATATCTCATTCCCATAAGGGGGCCACCGCCTCTTGAAGTCCCAATGTTAAAAATTTTGATGTAAATTTAGCAATTTTATTTTTCATACAAATAATGTATGCATATGGAGGGGTAACGGTGTATTAAACATATTTTGTCATGTTCCTTAATTACTTATCGAAATTAGGGGTAAAAAAGTTGACCCCCGTCCGCGGTCCCTTTGGACCGTCGGCAGTACAGTCCGCTCCAAAAGTTGTAGATATCGTTCGCC